GTCAGTAGAATTAGGAAACTATTCTAGATTTTCCCAAAGACTGGCTGTGGCTTGCCTAAGAATTACTCGAGGAACTTGTTTAACATACAGATGCTGGGGTCCTGCTCAAGTAGATTCTAATCACATAAGCTGGGTGTTGGATCAGTGAATCTGAATTTTTAAAAAGTTCCCCACATTGCCCTGGCCAGGTAGGTCAGCTGATTTGATCTCCGGTCAAGGCGCATTTAGGAGGCAATGGATCAATGTTTCTGTTACATTGATTGATGTGTGTCTCTCTCTCTCCCTTCCTCTCTTTCTCTCTCAAATCCATAAGCATGGCCTCAGGTGAGGATTAAAAAAAATCTCTAAAATCAATAAACATGTCCTTTGGTAAGGATTTTTTTTAAAGAAGTTCCTCACATGGTTGTGCTTACTGCCAGATGTGGAAGCTGCTTGTGTAGTAGTAGAGCTTAAGGTACCTTTTTGCTCTGAAACGCTATGGTCCTACCAAAGTTTCATATTTATGCTCAACTACCGTAGGGATCAAGGGCTGAACAATGGGAAGTATGTAAATCTTCAGTTATCAGCTCTCTGGGGGAAGATTTCAAGTTCAGGTGATGGTTTTTCCTGCTTTTTGGAGTTAAACATTTATATTTCCCTGAGTCGCTATACAATGTAATTCATCCAAAAGATAACTCTGAGCTTCTATATTATGTGCCAATCACTGTACTGGAGGTGCTAGGAATAAAAGGCATGGTTATTGCCTATAGAGAGCTATAAACAGTGGTGGCCAGACAATATTCAAATTAACAAATATGTAGTATAAAACTTTAGTTATCAGTATTCCCAGGATCAGATTTTAGAGCACAGGGTTAGAGGGCACGGTGTCTAACAATCATTTTTGAGAGCCGGTTTAGGTTGCGGAGTTCGTGTACTGTATGTATCTTTAGTCCAGTTGGTTGAGTGTTAGGTGTCACTTTCAGAGCTTAAAGCACTCTATTGTTTGGGAAGCACCAGTAGAGGATGAGGAAGTGAGAGGCGAGAAAAGCATATGCTTTTGAGCTGACAGTTGCCCCGCAGAGTGGATAGCCCCGCTCAGTCCTGCTGGAGAACTCTGGCTGACACTGTAGAACAGCACCAGGCAAACTGGGAGCCACAGACCAGGGCCATGAGCCCCGTTACGAGATCAGTATAAAAACTGAGTGTAAGGGTTTAGAAACTCTTATAAGAATTTGACAAAGTAATTTTATGTCCATTAAATCTAATAATAAAACTTTTAGGCTGTATTTGTATATTTCTTTTTTCATTTTGTTTTCCTTGTTACTCATTTTTATTGTATTTTACAAAAGTATCGGTGCATGAGGGATTGAAAATTAGAACAAAAACAGGTCCCTCACCTCAGATAGCACTCAGCTCACAGTCATTCCACCCCGGGAGGCAGGGAGCTGCGCTAACCAGAGTTTTGCTTTTCGTTAACAATCAGGTACTTGAGCAGATTTTTTCTCATCACTGCCAAGCTGGAGGTAAGGTTGGTAGGTCAAGAGTTGCTGAGGCAGGTGGAGTTCCGATAAGAAATACCAAAAAAGTGTCTTAAAAAGTTTAACTGGGATCTGGAAAGCATTTTAGGATTCTGAGCAAAAAGATGGACAAATGAATTTTCTAAATTAAGAACAAATACCCAGAGGCCATTTACCCTTATCCAGGATTTATGACACGGAGCTGTTATTTTTATTATGTGTGATACTATAATATAGTTCTTTGAGATGGGTAATACATTTACTCTAAGAAATTAAAATAATTTCATTTATTATTTCTTTGATAAATCAGAAAAAATTGGGAATACTTATTTTATGAATATGTATTACATAAAGTTCGTTCATTTTTATTTTATTTCTACATTCAGAAAACCTAACTCTTTACTCATCCTAATATTCTGGGTTTGTGTGTGTGTTTTCTGTTTTGTTTTGTAGGACAGTTTGTTCTGTGTTGTAGCAGCATTTGGCTGTTTCTACTATTGAAAATTTGAAAGCTGGAAAAAGGTATGACGATGAAGAAATATGAACTTTTTTATATCGTTAAATATCTTGACAAAATAAAGATAAATTGGCAGTTTGGCAACTGAGTCTGTTGAGTTTTAGGACTTACAGTTAATGTTTTGATTTTGTTATGTGTTCTAACTACATTTGTAAAGTAGAGAAAATGTAGGGGGAAAAAATCCATAATTGTTCTACATAACTATTAATACTTGGTATATTTTCTACCAGTGTTTTTTTATTTGGTGTTTTTTAAAAAAAATCATAGTTTTGTAACTGGATTTTTCACTTCTCATAGTATCACATAGTTTTTGTCATTTTATTTGCATTATGATTTTCATAAGCATAATTTAATAGTTGCATTTATTTCATTAGGTTATACCATTGGTTATTTTTGCCATGTCCTTACAAAGGACTGATTATTGCTACTTTTTTTACTATTATAAATAACACTGAGGTGAATTTATGCATAAGATTTTTTCCCTACAAATTGCCGCCCTAATCTATTTTTAAATCTCACTCATTGTTTTTGTTCAGCTCTTTCTCTACACGGCTTATTAGCTTAAATATGCATTTGTTTTCGCCAGGGTTTTTCCAGTGTCATAGACTTTCTGACAGGGTCTGAGAGTTTCCAAGCTGTGTATGAAATTAGCTCTCCCTTAAGACTCTCCAAAATTATGTTGGTTACTATTCCAACTTCCATTATCTTTGTAGTGATCTTCTCCATAGAGCCCCGAGTAGTCTTCTCCAGCTAGCTGTCCTTATTTGGACCACTGCAGTCTATGAGCTGACAAGAAGGAAATTCTGAGGTATTCTAAATTAAATTATAGCAGTCAGAGAGTGCGACACATAACAGTCAGCCTGTTAATAGCTATGGGCCAGCTAACAAAAGTCTGCTCATATTCATATGTCTGTTGGAACTTCAGAGTAATTTCCAGGTGATTACTTCTGCAATTATTCCAAATAATGAACCTTCCAACTCCAGGAGCCTCCACTTCTGTTTGTGCCTGAACTTTCTGGACTGTTGCTCACCAGTCCAAAGGAGCGGATGCTTCTTCCTTGCGGGCTCTGCGCCTATCCCAGGGCTGGCGCTACCTCACCTTCTCCCACCCCCGCTGCCTATAGCTAATGCAAAGGCTTTCAGACAGTTTACATCTTCCTCCCACGCCTCCACCCCCCAGTTGGTGAATAAAAAACGGCAGCCTGGCCCATGTGGTTCAGTGGTTGAGCATCGACCCATGAACCAGGAGGTCATAGTTCAATTCACAGTAAGGGTACATGCAAGTTTCAGGCTTTGATCCCCAGTAGGGGGCGTGCAGGAGGCAGATGATCAATTTGGATTGATGTTTCTCTCCCTCTCTCTGAAATCCATAAAAACAGAATAAAAAAACAAAAATGATTGCAAACTCCAGGATGACAGAAATGTATGCTGCTGGTGGTTTGGATTTCTTGTACCAAGACTCGTCTTTTTGACTAAATAAAGCCTTTTTTCAAAAAACAACAACAAACCAACTTTCATCTGTGAGAGTTAAGTCTTTGTTTAGCAGAGCCTTGTTCAAATAACTGAAACTCAAAAGAGAAAGGATCACAATTTATTTTTATTTTTTAAAATATATTTTATTGATTTTTTTACAGAGGAAGGGAGAAGAAGAGAGAGTTAGAAACATCGATGAGAAAGAAACATTGATCAGCTGCCTCCTGCACACCCCCTATTGGGGATGTGCCCGCAACCAAGGTACATGCCCTTGACCAGAATCGAACCCGGGACCCTTCAGTCCGCAAGCCGACGCTCTATCCACTGAGCCAAACCGGTTAGGGCAAGGGTCGAAATTTAAACCCTTTTTCTCCCCAGAGGCTTCTCAGCAGATGCAGAAGTTTACCCACCTCTTTCTTCTTAGCCACTTTCAAGCATGTAGACGAAAATAAAAACGAATAAACTGTAATAAAAGTTGTTTTATATATTCCCCCCTAACATTGGGTATCTACTTGCCTTACAGCTATAGAATCTAAAGGGACCCCAGTCCAAGGTTCATTCTGGCAAAGAACACCGTGCAGTGTGGTTTTCTACCAGGGGTCCCCCTCCAATCTGCTTATTGACCAAACCAGTCAGTCCAAACCAGGAGAGAATTTTTATGAGTTTATTTGAGCTAAACCTACAGCATATGTTGGGAAGCAAGATCTCAACTGCTACTCACAGTAACAGTTTGCAGTTTTTCTGCATTTGAGATTAGGGAGGGAACAGAAGGAAGAGCACGTGAAGGTGGGAGAAAGCCAGCTGGGGGTCGAATTACAGGATAAACCCTTGGGGGTGGTCACGTCTGTAGGGGTCGGCGGTGTGCTAACCTTAGATGCACAGAAACGAGGGACAGGGCTCGCTACGGCAAAAATAAGCCTTTGACTAAAAGTGTTCCGTGCCTGGGGATGGCTGCCCCCCCTGACCTGCTCGGGAATGTATGAACAGATCAATCGCGCTGTGAGGTTCTTGTCCATAAAACCCCCTTTTCCACACGCTCCCCCCACTAGCCCATGGTTGATCCCTGCGGGTCTTTTTTGGGGGCGCCAACCTGGGTCGGAAGTAACAGGAGTGGGCGTCTCCGTGAGGCGAGGTTCTTGCTGTCGGGAGGGTTTGGAGCCAGCCGCAGGCGTTTACCGGACCTGGCGGGCGGACCTCCGTCCCCGCAGCACCCGGGAGGGAACCGCAGGCGGAGGAGAAGCCGGCGGGGCTGCGG